CAACACCGAGGGTTGCGATCCCGTTGCCAGTCCTGGTCCGGTACGGGGGCAACACTGAGGGTTGCGATCCGTTGCCGGACACGGAAAAAAGACAAAAAGATTCCCTACTGCCTAGAGGAAAACCAAATTCCTTACCTCCTGACAATTAAGGATCTTTAAAATCTAGTCCCTAGAACACCACTTTCCAATTATTCCTGAAGAATCCAGGTACTTCCTTAACTCCGTGCCTTTGCTTTTACTATTCCTTTTACCTGTGGAATGTCCTTTCCCTCCTGCTTGAAGCTCAAGTTATTCTTCATGGCTTAATGTACACTCCACTTCCTCTGTGACAGAGTACACCTTCTGCACTTGTTTGAGACCTCTATGGCAGCACAATTCACAATCTGACTCATGTGCTAGCTGTTTGCAAGTCTGTCTCATTCTGGGGCAGTGACCATGTCTGATTCACTTCTTTGTCCTAGGAGCCCAGCATAGGGCCTGGCAGTCAGTGGTGGCAGAAAAATGCTTATTTGTGATCATTATTAACATGTGCATATTCTGTGACAAATTTTTCAAACACCTGATGTCATCTGATCCTTGAAACATTTTACAGATAAAAAGGCTCAGGGAAGTTATGTAATTTGCTCAAGATCACAAGGCTAGAAAGAGGGAAATCTATATTTGAATCCAGCCCTTGCTCTTAACCACTGTGCTATCCTGCCTCTTGCAATGAATCGTCATGGTGGGCTTGGGCCTCACCTGGCCCCTTACCTTGGCACTATACTGGTTGAGCTCTCCACTCTCATGGCCTGCGATGATGCACTCCCCCAGGGGTCCCCAAACAGCACTGGTGATCTTGGAGTCATTGCAAGGGATCTTCATGTAGGGCTCATTGTTGTCTGGGTGGAACAGCAGATGTCAGGCCCTGGGCTCTGGAGCTGTACCTTTCACCTTACCCCAGGCCAAGCCCCAGCCCTCACCGATCTGGCTTGGATCTCGCAGGTCAAAGAAGCTCACAAAACACTGGTAGCCCATCTGTTTGTCCGTGGAGAACATGATGATGTTGCCCCCAAAGTCAAAACCGCAGGTCCGGACAGCTGAGTTGGTCTTGAGTAGGGCCAGCTGCTTCCCTGAGGACAGGCAGAGTCTGGGCTACCCCTTGCCCATTGCTATTGTGGGGAAGACACTCATCATCTGCCTATCATCACATCTCACTGTGCCTCCTGCTCCAGTGACTCCAACCCACCTCTCTCATCCTCCTTGCCATGCTTTGACTCAAGTCTTGTAACCTCTCCACAGCTCCTCTTCAGACATCCTGCTGAGGTGGCATCACTCACAGTGGACTGCCATATACCTGTCTCCCCCTCAGATTACGCTCATCTTCAGTAAAGACCTGGTCTGATTTCTCTGTATGTCCCCAGTCCCCAGCATAGATCTGGCACAGAAGTGGATGCCTGGTAAATACCTACTAAACAGAGCAGCTTAATAGATCCCCTGTCTTCAGTCTCAGCTCTTCCAGTGTTTCCCACTGCTCTCTGATCTTACTAAAACTAAACAGACCACCACTCGTCCCTGCTCAGGGACCTCTACAGCATACTCAGTCCTACAGAACAAAGCCAAATTCCTGAGTTTGGCATTCAAGGCCTGCTCTGGCCCTAGCCTGCCTTTCCAGCCTTGTCTTTTCCACTGACAGTCTATTTCACACACCCCCACCCCCAAGAAGCAGGAACTCCAGTAAGATCAGACGACTTAGACATGACACTTTCCATGCTTTCATTTCTGCCTGTGTCAAAGTGAGGACATCTTTCTCATCCTTCAAGCCCCAGCTCATACGACATTTACCTTGGGAAACCTTCCTGGGTGGCTCCCACCCCCACTCTGACCGGTAAGTTGCCTCCCTCTGGCCTTTCACAGTACTATATACCTCCTCTAACATGGCTTGTATCCAACTGTAATGCTTCTTTTCTCATCTGTCTGCCTTATTATCTCATTATCTCTTATTCTCCAGACTGGGAACCATCTTTGGATTTATCTCTAATTCCCCAGAACTGTTTGCTTAAACAGGTACACTGTAGGTCCTTAATATTTGCTGCAGGGCCGAGCCCGTGGCACACTCGGGAGGGTGCAGCGCTGGGAGCGCAGCAGCGCTCCCGCCACGGGTTCGGATCCTATATAGGGATGACCGGTGCGCTCACAATGCTCACTGGCTGAGCGCGGTGCGGCCGGTCTCAAAAAGGAAAAAAAAAAAAAAAAAATTTGCTGCAAAAGTGAATGACCCAGGCTTACCTGTTTCACAGTCCCAGAGACGACAGCTGTTGTCAGCTGAGCCGGTGAGGACATGCTTGGTGTCCCCTGAAGAGGGTGTTAAGAAACATGACTGAGTTCACCTGAGCCCCGTCCTCCTGGGAGGCCAACTGAATCACCTCCCTGTTCAGCCCCAAAGAGCCTTTCTTGCTTTCTCTTATCTCAGAGCTTTCTAACCTTCTCATTCAGAACTGAAACTTGTCCTGAATGTTTCCCCACCAGTGAAGAGACTAGAGAGTAGGAGGTATTGTTCTCCAGACCTACAACAGCATCCCAAACTCCCAACCTCCAACTCAGACTCTCTCTTGCGGGCAGACCCCAGGAGCATAGACTCTGAGCAAAAACAAGGATACAGTCAGCGTCCACACACCACACAGCTCCAGTATGACCCATGTAGGTGCCCAGCCTCTCGCCATTCACAGAGTACCATACATTGACGATCTGGAGGAGTCAAACAACAGGATGGTACACATCACAGGAAAAGAAATGGCCTCCTATATTGCCCCAGGACCCCTCAGCAGCCTCTAGCCAGGCTGATTCTGCTCTCTCCTGCTTATCTCTTGGGAACTAGTAGGGAGCTGGTAAAAAGACCAGTTCCTGGATTCTCCTCTCTTCTTGAAGGTAAAAGGCAGGGGAGTCAGGAGACTTGCAAAAGCGTTCTCACTTGCTAGTTCCAGTCCTTTCCCTATACTCCCAATCTCTTTGAAGAATAAAAGGTCAAGTTGAGCTCCAGTCCAGAAAAACAGTAGCTGTGGTGTCCTGTCCAAGCGGGAGCAGTTGGTAGTAGGGAAGTCTGGGTTCCAGTGCCTGCTCTGCCACTACCTCACTGTATGATCTCATATAGTGCTTCTCCCCTCTCAATCTTAGTTTTCCCATCTTAAACATGGCCAGGATAATAACGCATTCTTCAAAGGGTAGCTGTGAGGCTCCAATGAAGTGATGCCTAAGGAATTTAAAATATAAGTGACTAACATCAATTAGGCACTCATATGCACCAGATACAGTGCTTAAGCTCCTCACATGAATGATTTCATTTAATGCTACGACAACTCCACGAGGGAGGTACTATAAACGGGAAACGTGAAGTTTAGAAAGGTTAAATGACATACTCAAAGTCACATTGCTAGCAGATGCAGGAGTCAGGATTCAAATCAGGTCTGTTTGACTTAGAGTCCGCACTTCTAACCACTAGTTAACTTCTCTGTATGGAGGTGCCTCAAAAGGCGGTGCCATGAGGGACTGTTTGCACTGAGTAGCAAATAGTGGGATTAACTGAAGTAAGACCAGGGACACCCTCATTAAGTCCTTTGTGTCTTGATGACACAGCTTGCATCCCATGGATCAGCTTTCCCCTATTAGAGATGGTCTACTTTCCTATCCTGGTACAATGGTTGGTTTAGTTCTTCCCCAAAATAGTCTCCTTCCGTTCCCCTGAAGGAGCTGACCCACGTCCCCCTTCCACAACGGTTTCTTGCTTTTCTTCTCCCAGGCTACTCCTCCCAACAGTCGAGTTCTTTTCCACCTTTCCCGGTAGAATACTCTCGCTGACCTACTCCCGGGATGGTCCCTCCCTACTTCTCAGAATGGGCGTTCTTTGGTTCCCTTCCGGTGGCAAAACTGGCTTGCCCACCCATCATCCTGGCAGAAGGAATTCGCCCCCTCCCCTTCGAGCCCCCTCCGCATGGTCCCTCCTGCCCTCCGGCCGACGCTCACAGGGTCCTTGGCCACGGTGAAGAGGAGGTCTCCTTCGCGGTTATATTTAATCTGCGTAATGGACCGCTCATGGCCTTGCAGCAGGATCGGCTTCTGTGGGGACAGGACGGGAGTGTCAGTGTCCGGACCCAGACCCCTGCCCCAGCCCAGGACCCCCGCCACAATACCCCCGACTGTGGAACTCACCATCCCGGCAGTGACGCAAGGAAAGCGGCAACGTGAGTAGGACCGGAAGAACCATCGGGCTACTTCCGGATTATGGGTCTCCGCCCCCTCGTTTCCGGAAGTAGAAGGGAGCGGTGTTGCCATGGCGGCGTCCCTCGGTGGGTAGCTGGCCCCGCCCCTCTAAGGACTTACCCGACTCCCATCCGAAGTTCATTTCCTACTTCACCTCCATCCCTTAACCCCGATGCCTGCTACAACCGCAGATCCCGGGCTGCTGGATTCATATCCCCGGGCTCCCGGGGCGTCCTACCCGCCAGTCGCTGCCGGGGCGTCGGAGACCGAAGGAGGGAGGCGGGGGCGGCTAGCCGGGGCTAGGAGGCCCGGGGAGGGGCGGTCTGGGCCTGGCGGCCAGGGGAGGGTCAGGCCGGGCGGGTGGCCATTTGGGGACGAGGGTCAGAGTGACTCGATTCCCCATCCATCTGCATTCAGGGCAGGTGCTGGCTCTGGTCTTGGTGGCAGCTCTGTGGGGTGGCACGCAGCCGCTGCTGAAGCGGGCCTCCACCGGCCTGCAGCAGATTCACGAGCGGACCTGGGCCCGGCAGTTGGTGCAAGAGATGAAGACCCTCTTCTTGAATATTGAGGTACGTCTGTGAATTACCCCTCTCTCGGAAAGTAGCCGCTAATAATTTGGTCTCTGGAGTCAAACAGGTCTAGGTCAGAATCCTGGCCCCACCACTTACTCACTAGAAGCTCTTGGAATACTCACTTGTCCTCCTTGAACCCCAGTTTCATCATCTGTAAAGTGGGAATTGTAATGATAACCGGGGCCGGCCCGTGGCTCACTCGGGAGAGTGCGGTGCTGATAACACCAAGGCCCCGGGTTCGGATCCCACATAGGGATGGCCGGTTCGCTCACTGGCTGAGCGTGGTGCTGACAACACCAAGTCAAGGGTTAAGATCCCCTTACCGGTCATCTTTAAAAAAAAAAAAGAAGAAATATTTGCAAATCATATATCTCATAAGGGTCTAGTACCCCAAATGTATAAAGAACTACTATGACTCAACAATTAAAAAACAACCCACTTTTTTAAACGGGCAAAAGGAAATGGATATTTCTCCAAAAAAGATATACAAATAGCCTATAAGCACAGGTAAAGATGCTCAAAATTACGAGTCATTAGGAAAATGCAAATGAAAACCACAATAAGGTACCACTGGACACTCACTAGGGCGGCTAATTTTAAAAATTGAGAAAATATATATCACAAGTGTTGGAGAGGATATGGAAAACTGGAATCATCATAAACTGCTGATGGGGATATAAAATGGTGCAGCCTCTACAGAAAACAATTTGGCAATTTCTTAAAAAGTTAAACATGTGGTGAATACGAATCAACAATTCTACTCCTGAGTATATACTCAAAAGAACTGAAAACATATATTCATATAAAAACTTGTACACATAGTAGCATTATTCATAATAGCCAAAAAGGTATTAACAACCCCAATGTCTATAAACCATAACATAAATATGGTATATCCACACAACAGAATATTTTTCAGCCATAAAAAGGAATGGCACACTATTACATGCTACAACATGGCTGAACATTGAACACGCTAAGCGAAAGAAGGAATACACAAAAGGCCACATATTGCATGACTCTATTTATATGAAATGTCCAGAACAGACATTTTCATAGAGACAGAAATTAGATTATGGTTGTAAAGGGATTAGGTGGAAGGGAGAATTGGGACTGCTAATAGGTATAGGGTTTCTTTTTGGGGGTGATGAAAATGTTCTGGAACTGTGGTGATACTTGCACAACAGTGAATATACGAAAAACCACTGAATTGAACACTATAAAAGGGCGGGCGAACTTTATGTGAATATATCTCAATTTAAAAATCAATTAAATAATTTTTAAAGCTAAAAAAATAAATAAAAACCAGAGCAATCTTGTGTCATCCTAGCCCCCAGGCCAGTGTGGTAAGGATGGTGGCATTTAAGAAGAAAAAAAAAAAATCCAGGTAAAGATGTTGTTCACCGTACTAGGGAAAATTGTGGCAAAATCTGGCTGCCCCTCTCCATGTATCTCTCCATTGACTGTCCCATAAAAACTAAGTTTTCACTATTTTTGCTTTTAGTGAAGAAAGGGAAATACATGCAACTAAAATTATGTCTCACCCCATGTTTCTCGTCTTATATACCCTAAGTGAATAGTTACGTAGCCATAGCCAGAAACCAACTTCAGCTTCAACTAGTCACTCCACTTTCATCCCATTTACATTTTGAGCTTCTCATAAGACTTCTTTTAAAGAATATGAAAGCCTCTGGCTTAATACATTCACTGCTGCAGAAGAACGCTGAACTGTTGGCCAGCTGACTGCAGCTAGCCATTTACCAAATTTTGAACAAATTGCAATTTTTAGAATCCTGTTACCCATCACCTCCCCTGCCTCTATCCTTTAATATCCATCCTTTCTAATAATCAGAACAGTAGTTACTATTAAGCATCTACTTCAGCCAGGGACTATACCTTGGTTTAAAACCTCAATTTGCTTCAATTTATGTGACTTCTTTGAGCCTTTTGTTTCCTTTATCTATGCAAAATGGTGATAATACTCTCCTTGCAGTGGTGTGAAAATTAGATATGTACACAAAGCACCTAGCACATAGTGTGTGCTTAACAAATGGCGGCTGTGCTTCATGTTATTGCACGCATTTCTTCTGCATCCTTTGGGCTTTTGGTGTCTGCCTGTTTCTCTGTCCAGATGTCCTTGAGATCTCAGGAGTTCTTTTTAAGTGCAAAGACCGCATTCTCACTATCAAACCAGGCTGGTCCCAGACCTCAGAGTTCAGGTCTTCATGCTGGAATCCTGAGGAAGCACTGAACTTGGAGTCAGGAGACCCGGGTTTGAGTCCTGAGCTTTGCTGTGACTTCATCTGGAAAATGGGGTCATGATACCTTTTTTAAAGGTATGAAATGATAATAATGATGAAATGAAAGTGTTTTGTGCCTAGAAAAGCATTTTTTTGCATCTCAGGGATTCTTATTCTGACCACCCAGATCTGACCCTAGCTGTGCCCATCTGTAACTCTCTGGCCATTGTCTTCACGCTGATTGTTGGGAAGGTCCTTGGAGAAGATATTGGTGGAAAACGTAAGTCAGACTGTTGCGAGTACTTGGACCTTGACATACCTTAGTTCTTTCCCAGAGCCCATCTCCCATGGGTGGGTGAGAAGAGGGCCTTCTCCCATCCTGTCCCTTTCCCCTGCAGCTCTCCTGCTTCCTTGTGGCCATCAGAGTTTCCTTCCCCTGGGCAGTCTGGGGATAGAGGCTGGGGGTGGCAGTTGGCATCAGACCTCATCTGAGCCTTTCCATCAGCCTTGTACCAGCTCCAACTGGCATGGTTGGGCTCAGTGTCCCTTGATTTCTCTCTCCCTTATCCCAGGAGCAGTTGCTGGCATGGTGCTCACCGTGGCAGGAATTACACTCTGCATTGCAAGCTCAGTGAACAAGCCCCACGGGCAACCATCTACCCTTTGAGTGGGCTGACCCCCAACTCCAGCTCTGCTGTCTCCAGGAAGCCCCTGGTCCATGAGATGCAGGCAGTGAGCAGATGGACCTAGTACTTTCCTTCTCTGAGTTTCAGCTTCCACATCTCTTATGGGACAATAGCTACCTCATGGATCAATAAGAGATCATGGAACAATAAGAGATCGTGAGTGAAAGGATTTTGTAAACTTCATGTGGTGTTCGGCTGCTGGGACTTAGCACAGGAGACTTTACCCTCACCCTCAGCAATCTTTCTGTCCCAGCAGCTCTCTTCCTGCTGTCATCTCAGGCCCCTAGCCCAGCCACTATTACTCTGGCCTGGTCTGGACTATCCTGGCGGCAGGTTAACGGACTGCAGAACCCCAGCTTCATGAAAAGGGCCAGCTGCGGTCTTTGAGCCAGAAATACAAACAGGAGGCTTCCAGGGCCCAGTGACAGTGCCTTGGCTGCCTGAGGGGTGGAACTGAGGGGAAGAAAATGCATAAGAATGATAGAAGAGATGAGCTTTCCGTTAGGCTTGCCTGTCCCACCCATGAGGTAGTTGGAAATCCTTTCAACTGCCAGCCCCTCTCAAACAGGTAGACAGGGGCCAGCCCGGTGGCGCACTGGATAAGTGCGCCGCTTGGGAAGCGCGGCAGCGCTCCTTGTAAACTTCATGTGGTGTTCGGCTGCTGGGACTTAGCACAGGAGACTTTACCCTCACCCTCAGCAATCTTTCTGTCCCAGCAGCTCTCTTCCTGCTGTCATCTCAGGCCCCTAGCCCAGCCACTATTACTCTGGCCTGGTCTGGACTATCCTGGCGGCAGGTTAACGGACTGCAGAACCCCAGCTTCATGAAAAGGGCCAGCTGCGGTCTTTGAGCCAGAAATACAAACAGGAGGCTTCCAGGGCCCAGTGACAGTGCCTTGGCTGCCTGAGGGGTGGAACTGAGGGGAAGAAAATGCATAAGAATGATAGAAGAGATGAGCTTTCTGTTAGGCTTGCCTGTCCCACCCATGAGGTAGTTGGAAATCCTCTCAACTGCCAGCCCCTCTCAAACAGGTAGACAGGGGCCGGCCCGGTGGCGCACTGGATAAGTGCGCCGCTTGGGAAGCGCGGCGGCGCTCCCCCCCCCTGGTTCGGGTCCCACCTACAGCACCGAGCCCCCCCAAC